AGGACTGGGGGACGAAGCTCTTCTCGATTCAGACACGATCCAGGGGGTGGCCCCTCCTGGGGCCCCTGGCACGGACAACGCTGATGCGGTCTACGGCTTCACAGATGACGGCCAGGGGGTGGCCCCTCTCGGGGCCCCTGGCTTTGACTGGGATGCCGATTACCTTGAGCTGTGCGGCCATTTCATCCACGGAGGGCAGGATTGCTTTCTCTTTTGGGAAGATGAGATATCGGTATCAGGCTGGGCGGTATCTTGAAAGCTTGCTTTCTCTGAGGGGACAGCTGCAAATCCAGGTTCGCCCTGGTATCGTCGCGGCAGCCGGCTTGTCTCCAGGGCACCCAGGCCACAGGAGGCCTGGGATAACAGTCGCGTGGGACAAACGGCCGGCCGTTTTGCTGGACGCAATGCGAATCAGTCGGATTGGATGGGTAGATGGCCACCATTGTCCCATTACCCAGGACCGGCAATATTGCGTGGGAGCGGCGATTGATGCGTGATGAGATGACAGCTACAGGAGCAATCTGGATCTACAATATCCGGGGAGAATGATCCAACAACATTGAGCATTGGAGAGAATGGTGCGTCCCGCGCTTCATCGAGGCCCTTTCGCACAGATCACGGAGGGCGATGTACATCAACTTGGAAACTGTCCATGACCGTCCATTGGCGGGGATCGCCGAGATGTCGTGCACTGAAGTTTGGATTCGGGTCGAGCCTCATCGAGCATTCTTCTCTGTGGCTCTCAATGGCATCAGGGGCAGGGATCAATGCCGTAGGTTTGTCAGATGGCACTATCAAGACCTTCGGGAACTGCGTCGTCGATTCAGGCATCTGCGTGGGAATCGAGTGCCGCCCGATCGGCCTTTCCCAGACGGTGATGAGGATAGTGATGTGGACGACCTAGCCCAAGGCAGGGCTAACCTGGTCTGGAGTTGGGCCTCTTCCACCTTGGGACAGGCTACTACTTCCTATGACGTGGGCCATGGATCGGCTACTGGGATTGGGAAGCAGGCAGCGAAGACAGAAGGCACACATCAAGAGGACGGAGGCGTGAAGTTCCGCACTGATATGCGCAACATGTCGACTTGGGGCCCTTCGGCACAGCAGCTACTGAAGCGACCTTACGACGCGATCATCATCCAGGAAACTCACATGGACATGTTGGAGGCGAACGATGTGTTAGTGGAGTTGGATAAAGCGGGCTACAAGAGCATGGTTTGCCCTGCTGGTGCTGAATCGGCACGTTTCACTCCGAAGGCAGGTGGAGTAGTTATGGGAGTCTCCATGAAAGTGGCATCTTACGACGTCCGGCCACGAACATGGACGACTTACCAGGCAAGAGATTCGACTGACACAAGATGGACCAGAACATCACCACGGGCGTTCGGTTCGATGACTTGGCGGGGGCGCAGGTAGTCTTGAAGGGTGCGCGCGTCGTGATCCTTGGCGGCCACCTCTATAATGCACTGGGGATGCCAGGAGCCATTCGGGAGAAGCCATCGGTCATCCTGTGCGATTGGAACTTCCCGCCTGAAGCCCTTCGGAAAGCAGCGTGGCTCAACTTGGCGCAGGGAAACAGATGGGTTGCCGACAGTGTGGATTACACGTGCACTAGTAGTCAAGGTACACTCGACTACGCGGTGGCTTCAGGATTCGTTCTTGAGTACCTTGATCGGGTGCGCGCGATTACTGATATGGTTGGTGAAGGGGGTTAGGCCCATTGCGGCGTAGTGCTGGATCTCTTGTTGGAGGCCGAAGAAGCATAAGGACACGCGCTGGAACTTCCCAAGGCCTTCGGACCTCCCAACCTCAACCAGCCGAAGACAACGGCCGACCCGAACAGTACGCGCCCGCGGAACGCGGCGGTGGTGGCTACCCCGACGGCGACGATCCCCAAAGTACCAGCGCTGGGATCTCGCGAGGGATTGGGGGCCAAGGCACCGCCGCCATTCACTCACCTGGGCCCTGCGGACTTGGGGGAGGAATCGGAGTGCGATGGCGAGGGGGAGGGCGACGAGGGCCCACCGCCCGAGGATGAACCAGGAGCAGGCCTAGTCCCACCAGCAGCTGATGCAGGGTTGGGCAAGAAGTGGTCTTTGCGCAACAGAGGGGAGGTTTGGGGCTCGATCGCCATCACGAAGGACAAACGACGGTCCGAAACTCCAGATTACGCCCGGGACTCACACGCGTGGCATCTCACGGCCGACAGCGCTTCCTCTTTGGGACATCAATTTGGCATGTGGGCCAGCAAGATGGATAACTAGTTCAGCATTCTATGTGATGGTGAGGGTCTGGACCAGGACGGCGAAGCCCAGCGTGGTAGAGGCATTGCTGGTTCGGTCAGGATCAACAAAGTTGTGCCTTCTCCTCCTTTCACTCGGACTCGGGGCCCTGGGGTGGACTGGTGGGCTAAGATTGCTTTCTTGCCAGAGGAACTTGACAGGGCCACCTCGAAACGCGAGGCCCCCAGGTCCAGCGAGCTCATCAACAGACTGAGGGGCGCGACAGCGAGCGCCCCCACTTCCACCCTGGCCTCTTTGCCGAGGAAGGAGAAGCAGTCATGGTGCAGGAACTCTCGCATGTTGAGCTCCGCCGCGTATGACACCGTTCGCAGGTGCATGGAGGCATGCGGCAATATTGCCAGCAGTCTACAAATAATGGAGTGCTACTCGCAGTACCTAGCGTTCTCGCAATGCGCGGAGGAGCAGTGCACAGCGGCGCCTGGCAAGTTATTCCGACTCATCAAGGATAAGCCAGCCGCGCAGGACCAGGTCGAGGACGGTCTGGATGTCTCTTCCGGTCCGCTCACGGCGATGGATATCAGAGCGCAGGTCTGGCGAAAGAAGTGGAGTCATCCTTCTTTGGATATCGAGAAGGTGTTGTATCTTTTGAGCACTGCGCGCGGCCGCTTCAGGGAAGCTCCCTTCCCCACCTTCGACTTGGAGACGCTGGAGGAGGGATCTCGGCCAAGGGAATCGAGCAGCCAGGTAAGAAAGTTCTGGTTTGGCTTACAGTGCAAGGAAAGTTGGAATTGGTGCATTTATTCCAGCTGATTGAGAAGAGGTTGCCTGGCCCTGGCAGCTCACAGTAGCATTGGTGACCCTCGCGAGGAAACCTTCAGGCGACGACAGGGCCACCGGGGCACTGTCTAACCTTGCGAGGCGGTGGTCGAGTTAACGAGGTGAGTACCGTGCCAGCTGGCTCGTGGTAGGGCTCGGCATTGGGACGCTGCCGTGGCAGGATCGTCTGCTGTGGAAGGAAGGTGCAAGAGGGTCCTTGGTCTAGCGTTGCAGGCAGGACTCACACGTGCCAAAAGATGCTCCGACGCGGGTTTAAATATTTTGACTAAATCTACCATCGTCGCCAATCAAGTCGACCTGGGGAATGTTCTCCTAGGTCTTGATCGGGGCATAGTTGGTTTTCGACGCCCCAAGCAAGCTCAGCGTCGGCGGGGAGCACCAAACCGGTTCAACCGCGTCAAGCGCTTTGCACAAGGGGCTGTTCGGGAGAAGATAAATGCCAAGCTCGCTATGATGGGAGTGTTACCGATGGCGGACTATTTGGACAAAGCGTTCGGCGCGGCCCCCTCAGTTACCAACGGCTGGAGGAAGGCTCTCGGGCAGACCCTGGCCACGAAGTGGCCAGGTCGTTGCCTTGCCACCTTGCTGCAACTTCGAGTGGGGAGGAAGGGCCCGCTGTGCCAGATTGTGCACGGGCTGATTGAGTCGTTGATGGCTGCGGCATTCGAACCTGGGTTCGATCTGGCATTGGCTCGGCGATCGCGGCGCACGGCTAGGAGGAGGATCGGCGACAGAGCGCAGAAAGACAGATGGCGTGGCATCGCCGGAGTGGTTTCTGCAACGATCGCCACGCTGTTGGACATAGGCTGGGATGGGACCCTGTGGGCCCCCGGGCTTGGATATCGGATGATGGGGGGCGCTTCGTGGCACCAGGCAGTACCATAGGGAGAGGCCCCCAGGACATGAGCGCCCTCAAAGACGCCATCTCGGACACCATCGATAGGGCACGATGGGGCAAAGCTTCGAGGCACTGGAATGACAAGGGCCTATCAGAAGGAGCAGATATACGCGATGCGCGTTGGCACCTCGCTTCCTTGTGGAAGAATGGCGAACTCGAGATGTTTGGCGCCGTCGAAGCAGTCATGACGGGAGCCTGCTGGACACGCAGCAGGATAGCCACCCTGAGTAGCAGCAAGCTGGACCCCACGGGCTGCCAGAGATGCGCTTGTGGCGACGAGGAGACGGATCTTCATCGCAGCTGGGCTTGTTCCTGCAATGGCCACTTTTCTACCATCTCTCAGACACTTATCCGTCGTGCTCATGTGGATCATGAAGAGCTACCTTGCTTCTGGCTTCGAGGAGTCCCACCTTCGTCTTGGACGCAAGTGGATATGACGACAGACACACCGTTCGACGAGGTTACGGGCCACAAGGGTGATCTTCAAGGTTGCGGGCACCTACTTGTCGGAGGCTCGAAGTGGAGACCCACGGCTTCGGCGGATTGGTTGGTCGGTCCAAGTTACCCAGGTCCGCCGCGAACCTGCCTTGGATGTCAAGTTGTCGCGTTCCCGAGGGGGCGGCATTCCCTAGAAACAAACCATCAACAGGGGGGGGGCGACGGCTCTGCTCACGGCGGTGGAGGATTTCTTAGGGCTCGGCGTGCCCTTCATTTTTGTCACGGACTCGGGCTGCGTCGTGAAAGGGCATCGCCAAGCTCAATGCAGGCCGGCTCCCGACGGCCAACTTGGACCTCTTATTAAAGTTGATGATGCCACATCCGTCACTGCCCAATGTCGTCAAAATCGAGAGCCACATGTCAATTGAAGAGACGGCGAACTCTGGCGCCACGGTGGAGCAGTACCTGGCCAATGCGATGGCTGATGAAGCAGCAGGCTCTTGGGCTGAGAAGTGCGCGGTTCCAAATACGGCGGCGGCAGCTGGGGAGCACGCTGAGGCGACTGGCAGGGCAGCGCGGAAGCCCCTGGCCAAGGCTTCCTCGGAAGCAGCGGAGGCGGAACCGAAGAGATTGCGGCCAACACGTTCTACGGCGGTGTGCTTTCGGCGTGAAGTCACGATGTCGGAGCATCAGGTGTACGCTGGTATGGGAACGGCCTTCCATTGCTCTGCGTGTGGCTGCAGTGACAGTGGTCGGAATTTGGGGAAGCTCCTGGGGACAACTTGCTTGGGCGGCGTTGTCAATGGCAGTATTCAGCGAGTTGGTGGCGTTGGGGTGCTGGCGCAAGGGATTCCGATGCACGTATCTCATTTGCTGGGGTACTTCCGTGGCCTGCAGATCCACGCGCGCTTGAAGTGCGGTTGTGTCGGCAAGCATTTCTTGAGAGGACTGACGGATGAGTGCAGCGGTCATCTCGGCCAGCAGCTTCTAACTGTATCCCAGCTGCTACTTCTACTTGTCAGATCATTTTGATGTATGGAGGCCGCTGTGGTTTTCATGGCATTTGGCCTCCATCCTCGTGGGCGGCCTCGACGTGCTGTATTGCTGGGGGTGGCCCCCCCCGGGGCCCCAGCCATGTGCTTCGGCGAGGCGCTCATATTCCTGGGGGTGGCCCTTCCTGGGACCCCAGGTGGCAGCCGCGGCTGAGCGGCTGCCTGTCCTCCCCCCTCTTCCCTCCCTCGCCCGCGCGTGTCTCAGCGTGGCTTCGGCTTCGGAGGAGAGGCGCTCACGGCCCGCGGAGTACTAAATACTCCTCCTCCTCCTCCTCCTCCTCCTCCTCCTCCTCCTCCTCCTCCTCCCCCTCCTCCTCCTCCTCCTCCTCCTCTTCCTCCTCGAGCCTCCGTCCTCCTTTGCCTCCTCCGCCCCCTGTTCCTGTTCGATCCTCGCTCGTCCTGTCCTTCTCGCCCGCGTTCCTCTCCCGTGCCCTCTTCTTGTGCGCAAGCCACGCTGGGTGGTTCGGCGAGGTCCAGCATCCTGGGCCCCGGGGCCGTCGCAAGGCCCCACGACCACCAAAAAGTGCCTCGGGGCGAAAAGCTGGTCCCCAGGAAGAGGCCGAGGTCTTTCGGGTCGGGGGCGGAAAAGAGGGGGGTGATGACTAGGGGGGGGGATATCATGGCGTGGGTCATGATATTTCCCCAGATATCATGGCGCCTTTTCTTATTTCATTACGTCCCTGGCCCCCCCCGCTGGGCCGCGCACGTGCCGCCGGTCATGATTTGCACCCCCCCCTTTTGGACACCCCCCTCTTTGGCCGTTCCCGATTGGGATGGGCGCTGCGAACAGAAACGCGACGTCGGAATTCTGGGCCCACCTTTTCCTCCTCATCCTCCCCCTCCTCTTCTTCCTTCTCTTCCCGCAGCCATCTCGCCTGAAGTAATTTTGGCCCAAGGCCCAAGGTCGACTTAATGCGCGAGTTGTGCTTGCCATCTTTGCTCGTGCGTACGGGGTTCATCTGCCGACAAAGCCCGAGCCTTATGATGATGCCTTGGCCAAGAAACAATATGACATGCTGGACGCGTACCTCCTCCTCTTTCTCCTCCTGTTTTTTCCTCCTCCTTCTCCTCATCCTAGGGCCTCGATCCGCCTCCTCCTCGATCCTCTTCTTCTTCCTCCTCGTCCTCGTTCTCCTTCTCCTTGTCCTCCTCCTCCTCTATCTCCTCGGTCCTCCTCACTGTCCTCCTCTTTGCGAGCCCGTCTACACAGGCGTGTCTCTGTGTGTGTGTGTGTGTGTGTCTGTGTGTGTGTGTGTTTGTGTGTGTGTGTGTGTGTCCGCGTGTGTGTTTGTGTCTGTGTGTGTTTGTGTGTCTGTGTGTGTCTGTGTGTCTGTGTGTCTGTGTGTCTGTGTGTGCGCGTGTGTGTGTGTGTCTGTGTGTGCATAAGATGACCTAAGACGCCGGCGACACAATGGTCGCCAAGAGTTGCGCGAAGCGCGCGTGATGCCTCTAGTTCGTTTATGGTGCACGCTCTGGTGCGCGGGGGCAAACTGCGCCTGATGGACCACGGGAGGGTCCGGAAACCGATTTTGAACGGATGTGTTCTCATCCGTCCTTTCCTGACAAGCGATACGATGCGGACGAGAACTTGCGCGAAGCGCGTGATTATTTGTGCTGCCGCGCGCTGGATCGGGCCCGGCGTTCCGTCATTGAATTGTTTTTTCGAACCAGGGCCTCTAGGACGGCATGTTGAGGTCCCCAAAAAAGAACGCCCCGCGCCCAGGACAGCTCTTCCCCGCGCCAGCAGCGGGATCCCCGAAGGTCACCCCGCGCAGAAACAACGCGCGCAAATGTTTTTTTTGCGCCAGGGGGGAAGCAAAACGATCGCGAAGCTGTTGGTGTCGCCACACGCAACGCGCGTGTTTTATTTTCCTTTTTATTGCGGTCGCAGCAGAGTATCCGTGGCTCCAGTATTGTTTCATCGACGGCTGGGTATCCGGAGTGGAAGCAATACGAGCAGGATGAGTGAGGGACGCTCGCAGGAGCAGTGAAGGATGAGCTGGAGCGGCAGGAACAGGGGGATGCCGAGCATGCGTGATGATGGGTGGCAGGAGAGGGAGCAGGAACCGAAACAGGAGCGTCGTCGGCACCAGAAGGGTCGCCGACGGCAGCGGCAGTCAGTGGACATATCCGGAGGGCGAGAGGCTGGGGACAGTGGGGGGGGGGCGGAACACTGGGAAGTTGAGGAGAGGGAAATCGAAGCTGAGGGGGAAAGGGAGGAACACCGCGAGCAAGACCGCGAGCGGCAGCAGCGGCCGAAAAGCCGTGCTGCCCGGAGAGAAGTGTGCGGCACACACGCGGCATTTCGGCGCCCATGCGGCAGACCGGCGCGCCCACGCCTGCCCGCTAGACCCGGCCCCGGGATGCCGCTGCAGCACCCGCGGCGACGCTCTGGCACGCCCAGGCCCTTGGCATCGCTCGGACGTGTGCATTTTTCCTTCGGGGAGGACCCTCGAGGAGCATCCTTGATCATTTGGCGAAAAAGCCACGCAAACCGACAAAAAACACATGGAATGGACGTCCGAGCGATGGCGAGAACCCCGGGATGCCGCTGCAGCACTCGCGGCGACACTCTGGCACGCCCAGTCCTGGCCGCCCTGCGGGCCCGAGTCTTGTTTTCGTTCCGTCCTGTTTCCCCAGGTGCGAAGCAACGGCGGCCATCGTACAGGCGCTGTTTTCGGGGAAAGTGCGAATCCGTGCCACCATTGCCGCGTCACGCCGCGGCTGGCTGTGTCTCAGCTGTGGCGGCCATCATCCCCGCCCCTGCCGCCGCCGCCGCGATTGCCAGCGGCGGCGGGGGCGGGGGCGGCGGGGGCATCCTTGGTTCGAGCGCGCAGGGGGAGGAGCGAGGTGGAGGGAAGGAGGAGGGAAAGGAGAAGGACAAGGAGGGGGGAGGGAGGAGGAGAGGGGAAGAGTCGAAGGAAAACGACGACTGGCAGGTGGAGGATGACACGGAGGAGGAGAGGGGCGAGAAAGAGGCGGAGCATGACCATGGGGGACGAGGGCGAGGGGCAGGAGGAGGTAGCGGAGGAGGAGGGGGAGGACAAGGCGGAGGCGGAGGAGGAAAAGGGCCAGGGGGAACGAGGAGGGGGGGGATGGGGGGAGATGGACGGGGAGGTGAAAGACAAGGAGGAGGAGGTGGAAGAGGACGAATGAGGATGGGAGTGGAGGAGAGGAAGTGAAGATGAGTCCGTGGAGGAGGTGGAGGAGGAGGAGGAGGAGGAGGAGGAGGAGGAGGAGGAGGAGAGGAGGAGGAGAGGAGGAGGAGGGAGAGGAGGAGGAGGAGCAAAAAGAGGAGGAGGAGGCAGCGGAGAAGGTGGGAGGGGGTAGGAGGAGGAGGAGGAGGAGGAGGAGGAGGAGGAGGAGGAAGAACCGAGGAGGAAGAGAGGAGGAGGAGGCGGAGGAGGAGGAGGAGGCGGAGGAGGAGGAAGGGGTAGGGAGGGAGGAAGGGGGGGGAGGAGAAGGCGGGGGCTTTTAAGCGAGAGGAGGAGGACTTGGCCCGCCGCGCGAAACCGGGAATCGCGGGGCCCCGCCGGGGAAAACCCAGATCGCTGGCGCCGGGGCCAGTGACTTGGCATCGCTCGGACGTGTGCATTTTTCCTTCGGCGAGGACCATCGAGGAGCATCCTTGATCATTTGGCGAAAAAATCCCAAACCACGCACGAAACCGACCAAAAACACAGGGAATGGACGTCCGAGCGATGGCGAGGAGACGAGCGGGGAAGAGCCTGGAAAACGAGGGGATCGGATCCGCCGGGGAATTGCTGGGGAACGCGCGATTTGTTTCTGCCCGGTTTCTTGTCGCATTTTTTTTCCTGCCGAGCGCTGGGCGTCCTGCCCAGTCCCTGCCATTTCACGTGCCGGACGTGCGGCTTTTGTTGTCCAGGTCCGGCCTTTTCCTGCAGAAGGTTCGGTTTTCCGATCCGAAGTTTGCCGAATTTCCACCGAAGGGTAAATGTTCCTCCGCAGTATCTTCCGTGCCGAATGCTTTCATTTCGCGCGCCATCCTTGCCATGTTCCCCCTGAAGTTAAGTTTTCATTTCCAGTTCCTGCCGAAGTCCAGCCGGTTTGTCCTGCCGAATGCCACGCTATCCTGCGCATTCTTGCTTTTTGTTATTCGCCAAGTGCCAGGTCTTCCTGCGCATTGTTTCGTTGGTTCCGAGTGCTCCGTTTTCCTGTCCAAATTATTTATCCCTCCGACGTTGACGTTTTCCTGCCCTTTTTTGTTTGTTTGTTTTTGTTGTTTGCCCCGTGCACAATGTTAGGTTGTCTTCCCCAGTTATTGTGCTTATCCTGTCGAGTGTGAGGTTTTCCCTGCCAAATTTCTACGTCTTCCTTGCCGAATGCTAAGTGTTCCTGCCCAGTTCCTGCTGAATTCAGGATGCATGTTTGGTTTTCCTTGCTGTTCCTGCGATTGTTCTGCCGAGCGTTAAGTCGTCCTTCCCAGTTTTGCGTTTAACTCTGCCGAAGGCGAATTGTTATTGCTGTTTTCCGGGTTTTGTCTTGCTGAGCGTTAGGTTATCCGTTCCAAT